GGTGCTTTGCAGCAGTGCAGCCATGTGCACACACTACCATTGAAGACACTGGGGTGGGGCCATCTGTGGATGCTCAAATCTTTGGATGGCAATCCCATGGTTGGCAAGAGCCAACTGTATTTTGTTTATTTAGCATGCATATTTTCATTTGTATATTCATGTATATTCGTATTTTAACATTCTATATGGAAATAACATTGTTCTAATTAGAACAATTTTATTTAAGTAAATCCAATATTTACCTCAATACATGTGTAAATTTTGCACAAACAAGTATAGGAAGAGGAGAGGGATCAAGGCCTCCAATTCTCATGTACCCTTTGAGCAACTCTTGCACCCCACCATTTGAGAACTATGGATCTAACCTTTCCCCCCCAGGAAATCTGGCAAGATTTCACCTCTACATACTTAAGCAACAGTTTTCAAATACTTTTGTTTGGGAGATCATTTTATGATTTAAGCAACAGTTTTCAAATACTTTTGTTTGGGAGATCATTTTATGATTAGTTCTAATCTGTATGTATTGGAAAGATTAAAATTTTTTTTGACTGTGCTGTTGGGTATATTTCCACATTTTTATTGCTTTTACTGATTAATAATAAAGTTTTTATTGTTCTTGAAGTGGATAAGCATCCTTCTGAGGAGTTAACCAAAAAACCCAAAACAAATATAAACAAATAATTTAAAACAACTGCACTGAGGAAGAGCAAGATTACCAGGAAGATTAAAATTAGCATTTTTGCCTCAGCAATTAAAACTGTGCCTAGCCACAGCGAAGAGCCAGCATTGTATAGTGGGTTTGAGCATTGGACTATGACTCTGAAGACCAGGGTTCAAATCACAGCTCTGCCATGGAACCCACTGGGTGACCTTGGACAAGTCACATTCTCTTAGCCTTAGAAGATGGCAATGGGAAACCTCCTTTGAATAAATCTTGCCAAGAAAACCCCAATAATAGGTTAACTTTAGGGTTGCCATATGTCAGAAACAATTTGAAGGCATACAACAGACCCACAGGGGTGTAAGAGCAGCCGCATATGGTGAGACATGAGAGAAGGCCTTCTTGATGGCTGCTTCTAGGTTGCATATGGCTACCTCCTTGCTGTCTTTCTAGCTGCAGGCAAAGACTTCATATTCTTTAGGCTTTAGGGAACTGACTCTTTTTAAAGAAGGGGCTTTTAACATACTTTCTAATAGGCTTTTAAACTGCTTTTTATCTTTCTTTTTAATGATAACTGATGATTCAAATTGTTTTCAGTGTTCCAGACAATTTAATTCCATGTTAATATTACTTGGTATGCTTTTATCTGTACTCTATCTTTTTTAACTTTATAAGATGCCTTGAGTCCCAGTTCTGAGGCAAAAGGTAGGATATAAATAAAGCAAATAAGAATAGCAATATCATCACCACCATCATCCAGAGGCCAGTCTTTCTGAGGATGGGAAGTTTAATTTTCACCTAGTGTTTTCTAGCCCAGTTTTTCCAACCTGTTTATTTAGCATGCATATGTTCTTGCCCTTTAACTTTCACAGTCACTGTCCACTGTCCACAACGGCTGGAGATGATGGGAACTGTGGAGGAAGAGAGCTGTCTTGCTCTTTTTCATAACTTATATTCTCAAGAAATTTTTGCTGACCGAGGTAAATAACAAAATGGTACCCTCATTCCAGTCCACATACAAAACCTGGCTGGATTGGTAGTTGACTAGTATTTGAACATTAACATTAACATATATTAAGGCAAAGGATTAATTTAGAGAGCCTGAGACAGGTTAGATGGCACATACAGCTGTTCTCTAAAAAGGGTAATAACCAAGATATTCCAGAGGAACAGCCACATAGCTGCTATTGTCACCCCATAGCATCTGCTGTCCGAGTTGGAGTGTATCCATATTGCAGAATTAAAGCAGCTTGACACCACTTTAATTACCATGACTCTGTCATACAGAATTTTGGGATTTTAAGTTTGGTGAGGTGCCAGAGCTCTCTGACAAACCAGGCTGAATACTTCATCAAACTACAAATCCTAGGATTAATTGCTTTAATTTTGCAGTGTGGAAGCATCCTTGGCTGCCTTAGGCTGCTGCCACACTGCAGAATTAATGCAGTTTGACACCATTGTAACTGTCATGGTGCCATCCTATAGAATCATGGGATTTGTAGTTTGTTGTGGCACCAGAGCTTTCTGACAGAGGCGGCTAAATATCTCACAAAACTACAAATTAAATAATTATGGAGCCATGGGAATTAAAGTGATATCAAACTGCATTAATTCTGTGGTGTAGTTACAGCCCAAGTCTCAGCCTGGGAGAAAGGCAGCATATAAATGAAGTAAATATATAAATAAATAGAAGTCTGCCTAATAGTAGGGCTGGCCCTGGGGTGTGTTGTTGAACTTCCAGATAATACCTGCAAGATTTCTGTTGAATCCTACCGTAGATCCTGGTTTGATCAAGGAGAACAATTCTGTTAAAGCAGGTATGAGTAACCGAGGAATTCACTCTCTAAATAATTCACATTCTGGTCACTATTTGTAACACTTTGGGTGTATGCCTGGATTTCAAAAATGATTCCTTGCATTTCCCAGATGGCCAAAGAAAGTCATATGAGCAGCAGATGCAAAGGGGGAAAGAATATGCCCTTCCATCTTGGTATCCTGTTGGAAAATATTCACACTCACACTTCCTCTCCCATTCCTGGAATGTGGCGAGGAAGCTCCCACTCCTACTCTGTCATTTCTGATTTACTAATTACCAAAATTCCTCTGATGACTCCTCCAAGAAGAGGCTGGGAGGGCATTTTGACAAGGTTAGCTGGAACAGGGGCACAAAAGTGCAGGAGTTTCCTGAGTGCAGTTTTAAATAGAAGCTGACGGAAAAGGTCATCAACTATTCCTGCTTAAGAGACTCTGCTTGGGAATTGGCATTACTGGCCCAATAGTTACGGACATTCAGCTACTGGCCGACACAAACAGGGTGACTGGAGGTGTTCCTTTTCCAGGACATGTCCTACATTCCAACCTTCTGTCCAGGAGGAATTCCAAAATCTCCATTTTGAGCATGTCCAAGAAGCATGAATTTATATTTATATCAGTGTTTTAACCTCTTATTTTGTAATCCCACATTTTCCCTGGATTTCCTACATTTTATGGTGCTTTGTCCTACTTTTTGATTATGACATCTGGTCACCCTGGATGTAAACAAATTCTCCTCTTCATGCAAAGTTGTGGCCAGTGCAATAACAGAGATAGAATACCACACAAGACTATGGATGCTTTTCTGTGAAAAGAAAAATAGCACCTCCAGTATTGCAATGAACTTAGATGTCCCCCTGTCAGCAGAAGCATTTTTGTAGCCCTTGCAGAGCCTATGTCAGAATCAGATTTTTTGGGGCAGCCACCATGGGTCTTGGACCACCTCTCCTGAGCAACTGGGGCAGGCAGCTTTTTGCTGTATATTTACTCACAATCTGGGTGATCAGATGTCCTAACTGCAAAGGAGGACAATGCTGCAAAATGTAGGGCATTCAAAAGAAAAAAAAGTAAGACATTTCCATAAAACATGAAAACACAAATATAAATGTAAATTCATGCTTCTTAGTCATTCTCAAAATTTTAAAATTCCTCCTGGACAGAAGATTGAAATGTAGGACATGTCCTGTAAAAGGGGGACATCTGGTAATCTTGCCCACAATATTTCTAGTGCAGTGTCCCTCCAGCTTACTGTGTATTATTAAAATAGTGGTGGTGGAGGACAACTAGTCTACTCTGAACTATTGGCTCCGAGGAAGCAATTTTCTGCAAACAGGGATTTTAAACTTTTCCCCTCCAAACACAGATGCCTTAAACCACACCCTGGGAGGGTATCTTCAATAACTAAAGTCATATTTTCCTTCTCTCTGCCATTCAGAATGTCTGCGAAGATAAAGCAAGTGTTGAGCTGACCTCTTTTGATACAAGGAAAAAGCGTACAATAAACATTTGGAATTAGAATGGGCAGTCCAGGAAGAAGAGATGGCCTTTCCCAAGATTGCAGTCTTCTTTCAGAACTGAAAATGGTTTATCCATCCAGAAGATTACTTTAGCAGAATTCAGCTTAGCCAGCCTGATATAGCGCATAGACTGAAGGAAATGCAATTGACCTATGCTACAGGAGGAGGTCAAAGCCAGATAGCTCAGCAGTGCCCTCTGACCTTACCAATGTTAAGTTTATCCTACAGTTCTATTATCTACTTCATGCATTGCAAACAAAGTGGAAACTCACCATGCCTTTCAGTTACCCTGCCTATTTATTACTTGAAATCCTTTTGTCAGCTGCTAGATTATTTTAACGAAGAAAATCTTGTTTTCTTGTTCTGTAGACATCAGAGGCTAGGAATCAAGATTTATAACCACATGTACATAAACAGAACAAAATGTGTCTGCCTATTTGGGAGTGGGGAGAAAAAAACTCCCTCTTCTCACTACATAAATCAACAGGGGAAGACATGGACTGTGACTGCATCTAGAAATTGCCACAGCTGACTCTTCATGCCTAAAGCCAAACAGCAAACTTGTCAACTGAGAAAAGAAAAGGCATTCCGAAGGGAAGCCAGCCACAGATACGACTTGCACTGAAACAGAAAAGAATATCTGCTTCGTAGGAAAAGGATCACAACCAAAAATGTCCACTCGTTTCTGCAAAAATCTGCCATGCTTTTGGAACATCCAAATAAAGATTTTCCTCTTTTGTATACATCATTACATCCACATCCACATGATATATTAATTATATGGTATCATCACCTTCTGACATCCTATCCAATTCCATGGCATCACCTTTTGCACGACTCAGTTTTAATTTCCTTATTTTATTTCCTTACAAATCCAGTGTTTTTCTGTGATTGTGAAATATGAAACTGCAGGCAGCACAACACTCTAATGGTTCAACCATCACTAACACTCTATCTCCCATGACACAGTTCAAATGCATATAGATTCTCTCACATTATTGTTGTTGTGTGCCTTCAAGTAATTTTTTACTTGTGACCCCAAAACAAGCCTATCACAGTTTTATTGTTAAGATTTATTCAGAGGGGGTTTGCCTTTGACTTCTGCTGAGGCTGAGAGTGTGAGATTTGCCTAAAGTTACCCAGTAGGTTTCCATGGCTGAGTGGGGATTCAAACCCTGGTCTCCAGAGTCATAGAGCAATCTCCAAACCACTACAGCACACTGGTTTCCTGTTATTATGATCCAGACCCCCACATTCATTCCATCACACGGCTCTGGATCTGCACACCTTCTCCATGGAGTTTCAAATCATGAAAAACCAGGTTATGGGTAGAGTGATGGAGTACAGGGGGTTGGTATCTCCCTGCTAATCTAAAGAAGTCATTTGCTTTAAAAATTAATACTTTAATGTATA